GGGGAGGGGGGGAGGGGGGGAGGGGGGGACAGAAGCTGCCTCGCGAGCCGGCCCGGCGGGATGTCGCTTCACGACTACCGTGATGTAGGCGCGTCGATGTATATAGATGTCTGAAGGAGGTGCCGCCCACCGTCTCTTCCACTTGTCCAAGCTTCGGCACCTGCTGCCCACACTTTCGCCTACGTCCTCGTCTGGATCACCTACCCATTGCCGCGACTACCAACCGAAATGGTGCAGGACCCCGTCGACAACTATTCTACCCGCGCGGCTCAGGCCATCGCCAATCGTGATGCCACGATTCCGCAGGACTGGATGCTGCCGAAGAGCGCGTTCCCCCTCCCAAACAATGTGACTTCTTTACTCAGTCTGAAGCTCTCACCTGAAGAAATGGCGATCGTCGAGCTCCCCGCCTACGAACTCCGCGACAAGATTGCAGCTGGAAAGCTCACAGCCGTTGACGTCACCACGGCATACCTCAAGGCTGCTGCCGTGGCCCAGCAGACTGTCAATTGTGTTGTCGAGCTCATTCCCGAAGAGGCTCTGGAGCGAGCTCGCTGGCTCGACGAACAGCTCAAGACTACCGGGAGGCCCGTGGGACCGCTTCACGGTGTTCCCGTCAGCCTGAAGGACCACATCAACCTGAAAGGTCATGACAGCCCCTGCGGTATTCTCAGCTTTGTAGGCAACATGGTCGCCAAGGACGACGCACACCTCGTGTCTATCTTGCGCGATGCTGGCGCCGTGTTCCATGTCAGTGAGTATTGGTTGGTATGACCTCACTGTGTATGCGTCATTGCTAGCCTCTGTACATTGTTATCGCCTGGCCTTCGGAAGCTCACTACAGAAACCACCAACCCACAGTCGCTCATGCACCTGGAGACTTGCTCGTACCTCGGAACAACCCGGTGCCCATACAACCCGGCTCTCACCAGCGGTGGAAGCTCTGGCGGCGAAGGCGCTACCATGGGCATGAAAGCCTCCGCCCTCGGAGTCGGCACCGACATTGGCGGCTCCGTACGATCTGTGAGTGTTAATACACGTCTTCCTGCTTTGCTATCGCATGTTTTGGTGGAGTGCTCGGTGAATTGTGCTAGCGGGTTTGAAACATCGGCGTCTTGTTTTTGCCGATAAGAAAGGTGTCGTAATATGCTGCGCACCTTCCTCTGTGCATTTCGCGGCTACTGCTCGCCGCAATGCAGCTGAGGATGTGATGACGAACAAGACTTGCATAAGAAAGGGGTCCGGGGTCCGACGATTGGAGCAACGCGGAGCAAAGATATTTGGAGGCCGCATGGGATGGTCAACTTTGACCGCTCCATGTCCGGCGGCCGAGCTGTCATGTCGGACGTCATACCGAGAGTGACCGACGGCGTCTCTGGCCGGGTCCGACAGCAAAGATGTCGTCCTATCGTCTGATCTTATATAAGACGCTTTGCTCCGCACCTACCATTCTCCATCTTGCTTTGTACCCCATCCTTGCTTGCACCACACCCTCGCTCTGACAGCCCTTGGCCATCGCCCTCCTCGATCAGCCAGTGACCATCCCCATCCCACACCGACACTCTCGCATTCCTCTTCCAAGGCCCAGTCTTCCCCCACTTCGCTCTACCTCGCAGCATGACTCCATTCCCATTATGCCAATATTACCACCATCCCAACACCTAATTTCGCCAAAGCACCGTGCTTACTCACACTTCTAGCCAGCCGCCGCCAATGGCGTTTTCGCCTTCAAGCCTTCGTCTCGCCGCCTCCCGTATGAGGGCTGCAACATGCCCGTTGGGCCAGCCGGCTGGGAGGGCGTGCTGTGCACTCAAGGTCCCTTTGCCCGCAGCGCACGAGACCTCGAAGAGTACATGCGAGTCATTCTGAACTCCAAGCCTTGGGAGAAGGACCCAAGGTAGGTCACCTGCTGTCCATCAGCACTAATCGTCAGCCTGCACTACCGGCCGTGGCGTGAGCTCGACACCCCCAAGCATCTGCGCATCGGCATCGTTAGAGACGATGGCGTCGTTAAACCGGTGACCCCGATCCGCCGTGCTCTCGAGGACGCTGTCGAGAAGCTCTCTGCCGGCAAGGGCGACACCACGTTCGAGCTGGTCGAGTACACGCTGCCTTCGCCCGAGGAGGCCTGGAAGATTATCACGTCCTTATACTGGCCCGATGCGGGAGACATGGTCCGCTCCAACCTCGCCGCTGCCAACGAGCCCGTCATGGAGCTGACCGACTGGATCCTCACAGAGGGCGGTCAGAAGCCTACTCTCGATGAGGCACTGGAGCGCATCGTGACCCGCGACCAGTGGAGGTCGATGTTGGCCAAGCACTGGCACGATGCTGGGCTCGACGTCGTCCTCGCCCCCGTCGGCCCCACCCCTGCGCCCAAGCACGGCACGGCCAAGTACTGGAACTACACCTCGTACTGGAACCTCGCCGACTACCCCGCCGTTGTGTTCCCGACGGGCAGGTTCGTTGACCCAACGCTCGATGTCCACCAACCTGAGCGCCAGCCTCGCAACGAGAAGGAGGCGTTCGTCTGGAGCAACTATGACGCAGACACGTTTGCTGGCGTGAGTGCAACTTACGGGTGTTGCAGCTCCAGGTGCTGACTTAGTAGGCGCCGATCGGTCTCCAGCTCATCGGCTACCAGTCTCACGACGAGGAGACGCTGGCGGCATTGCGCGCTGTCCTGGCGGCACTCGATGCCTGAACGATGCGCGCGTCATTCATGACCTCCTCCTTTCGTTCCCTCGATAAACGACGAGGATTCGGATTGCAAGAATAACCCCTTAGACTGTGTGTGACCTGTGAGCGACGACGACCAAGGACAAATCCCGTTGAGTTGGGGCGGAGGAGGAAGCTAGGCAGTTTCACGATCTCGTACTCCCGTTAGTGTGGTTAGTGAATCGGCTGGTGCAATTCACAGTCTGGAAACAGCAAGATACCCGGAGCTTCATCATAGGCTGCTTGGACATACCTATGGTGTTATGTATATTCCCACCAAAATGGCTCGCGTCATACGCTTCTTTCGGAACCACTCCACGCAGAAGTAGCCGGGTTAGTGTCATGGTTGTGTCGCTCGTCTCACAGGTCAGAGGCTTGGTCTGAGGACAAGGTTTCGTCGGATAGCCCCTCCTCGACCAGTCGGGTTTTTGGCCGCGAACTCGAGCTAAGCACGGGTAGCCTTGCCTGCGGGCCGCGGAAGATGCGCAGAAGCTTCCTGCTGTGCTCCAGCTTCCAACCGGGCCTTCTTCCAGCTTCTGCGCACGATCGGGCTCAGAAGCAGAAAAGCGCAGTCTTCCTACGCACAGTCGAGTCAACGAATGTCCTGTGCGTATCAAGACTTAGACGGTGTCCCGCCCATGGCTTCCGGCCCAACCGGATCGCCAGCCCTCAGTCGAGTCGATGTCGTGCTAGGAGTTCCTGGTGTCAAGGCAGTGCTGCTGGTGCGCCACGGGGTAGCGTCAACCGGAAATGCTCCTATCGGATCAGTGTCGCGCTCAAGCGGGGCCTCCGAGGGATACGCGATACGCGCTCCACGCACCGAACGCGTAGAACGCGCTTGTGCAGGAACGCGCCAGGCCAGAACCCCAGACAAGCAATGAAACCTGCTCTCTCGTCTGGTCTGGGAATGTTTCCGGGTCCTTCAAGCAGCCGGCAGTCCCCTGACTCCGGATCATCGTGGATTCGCATATGGGAAGCTGCTGCTGATCGCGAGTCTGTTATCAGCTGCTATCGGGCCAGAGCTCATTTGTTTCGGCCAAAGATCCCAGCATGTGCTGAGCACATCCAAGAGATCCCCGAACCATGGTGTTCACGAGGGAAGATCGGACCCGGCTAGGGACAAGACAACCGGGCAGTGGCTTGTGTGTCGACAGTGCGCAGTGCGGGTGTGCACGGGCTATATGAGAAAGAGGCTCGCGGATCGCGGGGAAGTGCGTAGGACCGCGGGCAAAGCAAGGGGGGAGGGGGGGACCGAAGGCGGAGAGGTGGAATGGACAATGCGTGGACACGAGCACCTGACCTGAACCGCCTGCCGGACAGTCAGGCCATGCGCCGGGCGCCACCGACTGCACTGCACCGGTAACTGCGGGCAGACCTCCACCTCTTTCCAAACCCTCATCTCCGCTTACTTTCGCCAAGGGGCCCGGTTACGAATGCCGTCCTCGACGGTCAACATCCATCCCCGATCGTGCACCATGCATGCCTCACTAGCTGCGACGAGCTGCGGCCTGCGTCTGCCCCACCCCCGGTCCCCACTATCGCTCCGCATGCTCCATGGGGTCGATCGAGCCGGTCGATCCGGGGTCGACGGCAATGTATCCTGCAGCCTGCGGGGCGGTCAGACGCCGACCGCAGCAGCAGTGACAACCCCGTCCATCGACCGTCGATGGCAATGACGCAGTGAGCGCAATGCTCCGGCCAAGCGGCCATCCTTTCTTGTCCGCCGTCCGACGATGAGCGCGTGACCCGAGCGCGGATGAGACGCTTCAGGTGCTCCCTCTCGGCCTTCTCAGGCTCTGCATGTACATGGCCACCCACTCGATTCGCTGCCAAGCAGGCACAACTCTACGCAACATTACTCGACGCTGTGCCTGTGAGCCGTTACCGCGGCCTGGCCAGTGGACAGCGAACAAGCAGCGAGGACCCGGGGTCGAAAGATTTTTCGATGCCCAGCCGGGTATCGTAGGTGACCGAGTTTTCGCCAGGCATTCATGGGCCACCACCGCCCAGTGTCGCAGGCGCTGGCGTCGCAGGCGGCGGCACGCGGGCAGAGAGCAAGACCAAGTGCATGTTCCGGCTATCAACAAGCAGGACCTGAACAAGGTTCACGCACAGGATCCTAGGTCCACTTGCTAGTCCGGTCCTGGACATGTGCCAGCACTTTGCACGGCATGCCTCGTCTCAACACCGTGGCAAGGCGCGGAGGATGAAGGGAGAAGAAACAGACTAAGGAGGTTTGACTGCCAAATCGAGTTTACGTTTCTGGGCTTTTGCGCGCTGCGATTCGTCACCGACCGGAGCTGGTCCTGAATCCTAGAAAGTAGCTAGGCACTCTCTCGCCGCGATCATACGCCTCTGCGCCTTTGCGCCTGCTCCCAGGTCCAGAAACCCATGTTCTAGCCTCGACGCGCGCTCAACGCTAGACCCCGCACATCCATACCTGTACGCCGCTCGCTTTCAAGGTGGCGACCTTCCTGCCAAGCACGTCCGGGTGATTGGCCAGGCGGGTCGGACGAGCAAACGAGGGAAGGTATGCTTGACGCCCAGCGGGTCAGCTGCACGGTATGCTGGCTTGGCGAATGCTGATGGTGGCTTGAGGGCAGGGGCCGGAGGCCCAGCCGTGCGTATTCAACAGGACCGTCAAACAGACCAGCGTGGGCCATGGGCCACCGCATGACCATGGCCGGATCAGCTTGTTCCTTTGTCTCTTGTCTTGTGCGGGTGCTGCGCCAGTCCTCCTGATGGCCGCTGAGGGGAGATGCCGTAGTCTGCCTGAACTGAATCGCAGAATTTAGCAAGTTGAGCATGTTCAGCCGTACGCCAGCCGAGAGGACGCCAGCGAGCCGTCGTGTCGTGCAAAGCCGGCCCCTGCTTCCCTGGACCTCACAAGGCCCCTCAGGCGGGGCAGCACAAGCAGTTGGCGCATGCGGGCTGGGAGCGGACCAAGGGGCTTCAAGGAGGAAGCTCAGGTTTCTCGGGTGGTCTCCCTTCCTCGGCCTGTCCCTGGCTGGCACTCGGGTGGGTGGAGAGGCACGAGGACCCTGACGTGAGCATGAGCCCGGGTCGATTGTTGCCACTGCGATCCACTGCCATCATGATCCAAGAATGAACCCAATCCAGCCCATCCCACTACCCACTACCCACTAGCACCGTTAGGTCTGCTTGCGCGCGCGCGCTAGTCCTTTCTCCCCGCATCAGGCTCCAGTCTCATATCCGACCTCTTCTGACCCTACCCTCCGTACCTTCCTACCAGGCTGCCCCTTGCCCCTCCTTCGTCGCCGTCAATATAATACCAACAAGGCGTCTGCTCTTTCCTCTCCGTTGCCGTCCTCTCCTTCGACCACCTTCTTGATATCCCGCACAGTACTTTTTTTTTTCTCTTTCAGTACCCTCGACCAGCCCGCCTGCCGCCAACATGCCGTCCCTCAAGACTCTGATGTTCATGCGCATCGCGTCCCTGCTCACCGCGGGCGCCTTCACCGTTGCTTGTGTCGGTCTCGCCGGCAAGTGTGAGTAGAAAACATTAGACACCACTGGCAGCCACTAACTCTTCGCAGCTCTGAAGGACCTTCACGACAACCGTGTCTTCCTTGTAAGTCGTCAATTGGGTGGGACAGCTTCGTCAGAAGTTGCTGTCGTTACGCTTCGCGACTTCACCCTCCCCAAACCACTCGCAGGCAAGAATGTCAGCTGACCTCTCAGGCTAAGACGATTAAGCCCATGGGCATCCAGGGTGGCATTGACGCCAAGGACGTTCTTGGTGCTATGGGAGCCATGCTCGGCGCCGCCGGTCTCGGTGTCATCTGGTGTGTGAGTATTACGTCCTTTCTACCTCTCCTTTCCAAGCGATTCCACCGCGCTGGGCCGGCAGCCTCAACGCCAAGGACGACGAGCGCGCAATTTTCGCGCTGTGTTTCTAAACCTGTGTCTAGCCCGCTCGGTGTCTTGTACCCCACACTCCCCAAGACAAAACGAGCGGGCCTGAGCAAGCCACCTGGACCGCCCCGTGGTGCGGGGGTCCAATCACCACGGGCGCATGTCACTCGCTGCTCCGAGATCGGTCATGTTCCGAGCGGCCTCTTCACACCGCTCTGCAACGCCTAGTTCATTGCTGACGAGTATAGTTCATCTCCGAGTTCATCTGGTGGAAGGAGGAGCGCGGTGGATTCCTTCCCTTCCGCTTCCGTTTCATCAACGAGATCATGCTCGGCATTTCGTGTATCTTCCTCCTCGCTGCCTCGATCGCGGCCGCCATTATCTGTGGCACCAAGTCTGCCAAGATCTGGCTTAACCCCCCGATGCCCCAGGCTGTTGTCGACGGCATGCTCAAGGCCACTGGCAAGTCTGTTCGTTACAGGGACCAGAAGGCTTTCCCCGCCATGATCATGGGCTGGCTCGCCTTCTTCTTCCTCGTCATCTCCCTCATCCTCACCATCATGGCCGGCCTCCACTACCGCCGTGTCGCTGCTGAGCGCCGCTCCTCTAACGGCTCGGCCAACCACCACGAGAAGTTCTCGGAGGCCCGTGAGGACGCCGCTCACGCCTAAACAGCCTCTCTCCGCGGGCTGTAGACCATTTCCTTTTTTTTCTCTCGTTTTAAACAACGCCATCTGATCAATCGCGAGGACAGGCTCGGGCTAGGGTACCGCCTGCGTCCTCTTGATCTGTCGCACTATACCTTTACTTCGTTCATCGAACTGAACTTAATCATAAACCTACCAACACCTCCTTGGTGGTTGTCACAACATCACACGACATAGTCACTTACACTACATCGGCACGACCAGGGCGTCCGATAGTATCAGTAACATTTGTATATGTGACTATAATAACAGCGCACAACTGAATTCACCGAGCGGATCAGCCGCATAATCGCGATTCTAATGGTGGGTGCGTGTGGTCCGTGCGCTTCAAACCGAGGAGACGTGGACCGGCGACGTGACCACCACAGCACAATTTTGACCGTGACATGAGTTGCACGGCGCGGAGCATACCTGCGCAAGCGGTGATCGGGCGATGCGTCACCGTTCGAAGAGTTTCTTTCGCTTCGTTTTTAACTTTTACGCAGATCGTTACCGGCGGCGGTGAGGCAGCATGCCGTGTACCGAGTGCCTTGCGGCCGCGATCCATTTCGGTCCTGGGCGACCTATGCACAGCGATGCATGCAGATGCCCGGCGATGCCCGGGCAGGGGTGCCCAGAGCTGTGACAATAGCATAAATTTACAAGAAATGCGCCGGCGAAAGCTTAAGCAAGAATGCTTGATGTGCAGAGAAAGCTAAATCGAAAGGACAGACGCAGGCGAAGAGGGAAAGGACGACAGAGTGTGGTTGAACCTTATTCAACATCTACCCTCCACTCTTGCCGTCACTGTCCCTCTCCCCGTCCCTCGTTCCTCATTACCCATGATCATCGCCGCAAAGCGTCTCAGGATTGCGGCCGTCAGCCATGCCAGCCAGCCAGTCGCAGTGCAGCAAAAACACTCACCGCCGTTCCTGGTAGCCCATGTGTGAGCTTGAGGTGAGCAGAAGAGCTCGAAATGCTCGGAGAGCGACGAGCATACCGTGCCTGGAGTGCAGGACGCCTACGTCAAGCATTTCGATTCTTTCAACGATGACTGAGCGACCAACTGATGCGACTGATGCGGCATGCGACTGAGAAACTGCCTGCTTTATACTGGATACATGAGAGAAGAAAAGGAAGAGGGACGCAATGAAGGAAGTCTACTTGCCCTCGCCCTCGGGCGTGGACAGGCCCTTGGAGAGCTGGTCGCACGAGCTCTTGGCGTCGCCAAAGAGCATCTTGGTGTTCGGGTAGTAGAACAGCGGGTTCGGGACCTCGGCATAGCCTGAAGAATGTCGTCAGCATGTGTTTTTCATTACTCTTCAATGATTTCGGCATGGTCCTTGCCGCCTTGCCATTGCTTCTGTCGCGCGCGCGCTACTGCGCGGCCATTCCCGGGAGGCCGGGGAATGGTTCCGACACAATCTCAGCGAGCGGCGACATCAAGGGCATCGATGAACGAGGTGGGAGATAAGAAGGCCGACCCGGTAGCGTAAAGGTGGGGGGACGATCGCTCATCGTATCGTCGCTGGGTGCGAGATGGGACGTATAACGTGAGCCACCCAGGGCTATGCCGACAGGGCCCGCCCAGGTTTGCCCCAGGGACGCAGGAGCGAGCAAGGGGAAAGGGAGCGGAATTGCTACACCCGAGCCCACTATGGTGACCGACTGGCGCATAGAGGACGTGCAGTGCGGGATACAGATGACAAGTTTGAGCGGACAACTGCGACGCGAGCGGACTAGGGGTGGTCCGTTGAACGCGATCGACTGCGACGCGTACAACTGTGGGCAGCCCATGAGGACAAGCTGCGTACACTACGGTCCGCTAACCCGCGACATGCAGCTTGCCGGCCACCGGCAGCGGCAACACGACCGCCGTCGTACTCCGCACCCTGTCATAGCTGCGCGCGTCCACATGCTCATCTGCTGCGCCGCAACCGCTCCATCCCACCTCACACCCATGCACCTCCGCACTGCGGAGGTCGCTACTGACTGCCAAAAGGGAACACGTGACTCACCAGAGCTCATTCCGCGCTTCATGACGACGACATTCTTCGCGTTCCACACGTTCAGGACGGGCATGCCCGCGATCGGCGAGTTGGGCTCGAGCGCGATCGGGTTGACCGTGTCGTTAGCGCCTGATTGATCAGCCTCCGTTCTGTGCAGCAGCTAGTACTCACCAATGACGAGGACGACGTCCGTGTCCTTGAAGTCGTCGTTGATCTCGTCCATCTCCAGCACAACGTCGTAGGGCACGCCCGCCTCGGCGAGGAGGACGTTGCACTGGCCCGGCATGCGGCCCGCGACGGGGTGGATGCCGAAGCGCACCTCGATGCCCTTCTTGCGCAGATTCGCGACCATGTCGCTGATGGCGTACTGCGCCTTGGCGACCGCCATGCCGTAGCCGGGGACGATGATGACAGACTCGGCGTTCTGGAGCGTATCGACGACCTCCTCAATGTTCGTCTTGACGACGGACTTGCCCTTGGTCGTGTCCTCCATCGCCGTGTTGGTCGCGATGCCGCCGAAAATGACGTTGGTCAGCGATCGGTTCATTGCCTTGCACTGGGAGTTAGCTCGCGAGCAGAGAATCAGCCTACCATGATGTAACTGAGGATGGAACCGGAGGCGCCGATGAGCGAACCGACAGACGTCAGGAGCATGTTGTCAAGCATGAAGCCCTCCGCGATGAGCGCGAATCCAGAGTAGGCATTCAGCACCGTGACGAGGACAGGCATGTCGGCTCCGCCGATGGCGGCCGAGGTCGTCCAGCCCTGGATACACGAGAGGGCGGCGTTACCAGCGAGCAGCGCGGCACCGACGGTCGGCGCAGTAGGGGCCAGAGTCATGAAAGCTGCCATGGTCGCGGCGTTCGTGCCAACGAGACCAAGGTTGATGGCGTGACGCCCAGGGAGGATGGTAGGCTTCGACCCGACCTTGCCCGCGAGCTTGAGGAAGGCGACGATGGAGCCGGTGAAGGTGACACCACCAATGAGGACACCGAGGTAAGCGGTGGCAAGGAGGAGGTTGGAGAGACCGCCGGCGTGGTGCTCGGGCTCCATGACGACAGCGGCCGAGGTCATCATGGCGGCAAGACCGACGACGGAGTGCAGCGCGGCCACGGTCTGGGGCAGGGCCATGGGCGAGACACGGCGGCCGATGGCGAGACCGGCACCACCGCCGAGAACGGTGAGCGCAGCAGCCTGAACAAGCTGCTCCTTCGTGAAGCCAACGGCGAGTAGGGTGGTGAGCATACCGACAAAGACACCGAGAATGCCGAACATGTTACCAGTGCGCGCGGTCGCCTGGGGTTAGCTAGCTACAACCAACAAGCTTACCTGAGCGCTGAGGCCGGTCAGGGCGCCAATACACAGGAAGGTGGACGCAACGTAGCCCGCCTGCGTGAGGCCGGCCTCGCCCGTCTGCCAGGCCCAGATCAGGCCGGCGGCGAAGAGGGCGGCAGGGATGGCGTACAGCCAGGCGTACTCGGGCGGGTCACCGGGGCGGCGGAAGAGGTCAAGCATGCGCTTGGTGATCAGGAAACCACCGAAGATGTCTGTGGTCAGCTGCCGAAAGGAATCGTAAGCTTACTCAGGTTGGCGAGGAGAACACTGGCAGCCGCGAGCCACTGAGGAAAGGTCTGGGGCATCATACCACCGCCCATCGCGAAGAGACCGCCAACACCGACAAGACCGGACAGGGCGTTGGTGACCGCTGAGCGTTAGCTAATCCGTCGGCATTGAAGCTTGAGACACGTACACATCAGAGGAGAGTGGAGAGCGGGGGCCACGTTCCAGACAGCACGGAAGCCGACGAGACCAGCCAGACCGAGGGTGCCGAACATGCCCATGAAGGCAGGCGAGGTGAGCTTGCCGAGACCAAGAACACCGGTGAGCGCAGCAGAGGTGCCGGCGACCTCGCGAACGGACTTCTGCCAGGGAGTAACCTCCTTGGTAGGTTCTTCAACCTTGGCGGCAGCCTGATGTTAGCTAATGACGACACCAAGCGCAGCTACTGACAGCTTTTGGGGGAGCAGCCGGGGCGGGAGGCGCAGCGGGGCGGGGCGCCGGCCAGAGCAGCTGACGGTCCATGGTCACAAGGGCGCCACGGACGACCTCGTCGTCGAGGTTAACGTGGAACTTGCCGTCCTTGCCGATGGAGAGGAGGAACTTGGTAATGTTGTTCGAGTACAGCGTCGAGGACTGGGTAGGCAGGCGCGAGGGCAGGTCCTGAGAATTAGCGTGAACTCTCCTTCCCAACTCACAGTGTAGCCGAGGATGGTAACGCCATTGTGGACGACCTTCTCTCCAGGCTTGGTCAGCTCGCAGTTACCGCCAGCCTCGCCAGCGAGGTCGACAATGACCGAGCCGGGCTTCATGGCCTCGACGTGCTCCTTCAGAATCAGCTTGGGCGCAGGCTTGCCGGGGATCAGGGCCGTCGTGATGATGATGTCGACATCCCTGGCCTGCTCGGCGAAGAGAGCCATCTCAGCATCGAGGAAAGCCTGAAGTCAGCTTGCAACCGCTATCGTAGCTCACCTTGGACATCTCCTTGGCGTAGCCGCCCTGACCGCTTCCGTCCTCCTCAATGTCGACAGTGAGGAACTCGGCGCCGAGAGACTCGACCTGCTCCTTGACGACGGGGCGAGTGTCGAAGCCGCGGACAATAGCACCCATACGCTTGGCAGTCGTGATGGCCGAGAGACCAGCAACACCGCCGCCGATAACCTGCCCGTTAGCATGGTGATGTGGTGATTTAGAAGCGTGTGCAACGCGGCAGCTGCAAGAAGACATCTACTGCCCCTGCCGATCATGTCTGATCGTGAGTGAACACTCACAAGAACCTTTGCGGGAGGAATCTTTCCAGCCGCAGTAACTTGACCAGTGAAGAAGCGACCAAACTCGTTACCCGCCTCAAGGACGGCACGATAACCAGCGGTGTTAGCCATAGAAGAGAGAGCATCGAAGACCTGTATGTCAGCTGTCGGACCATATTGCCCCAGCTCACCTGAGCACGAGAGATACGGGGAACGGCGTCCATAGCGAACGAAGTCACGCCAGCCTCACGGAGCTCCTCGACGACCTCCTTGTTAGTCGCGGGGTAGAGGAAGGAGATGAGGGTCTGGCCCTTCTGCATCTTGGCCTGCTCGAGTGTCGGCGGGCGGACGCGGAGGACAATGTCGCTCTGCGCGGCAGCGGGGGCGATAGTAGCTCCGGCGGCAGTGTACGCCGAGTCGGGGAAGTTGCTTGCCTGACCGGCACCGCTCTCGACGGTGACGGCGCGGAAGCCCTTTTTCAAGAGCGTCTTGACGCCGTCGGGCGTAACAGCGACACGCTGCTCGCCGGAAAAGGTCTCCTTCGGGACGCCAATCGAGAGCTGGCCGTACGGGACGCCAGGCGCTTCGGGGTCGGCTGCCTTGGTGCCAGCCGCCGAGTCCAGGCGGCTAGCACTCGCATGCAGGTGTCGCCGTCCTGATCGTTAGCTAAGCAGGCAATGCATAGCTCGCTACCCGTCACCCGCTGCTCGCTGGGTAGCAACTAGTGCGCTGGTCGCGAAAAAGTTGGCCCGCAAGCAAGTAGCCGGATAGGGACCGGATACTTTGATCCGTTTCCGAAACGGAAAGCCGAACCGCGAGCGTGCGAGGTAGTGACTCACCAGTTCTGACGGCGCACGCAAAGAGGCGCAGCGTGCGCGCCGAGTCTACGAGCATGGTCGCGGACTGCGTGGAGAGGTTTCAGCAAAGTGAGAGACTGAGAGAAGTGAGACGGGGCGCGTTAGAGATCTTCTGGGTGCATATATCGGGAAAGGCTTGGGTTCGCGCGACGCCCCCGCGCCAGGAATGCCAATACCACGAAAGGTGATTCCGTTAAGCCGGATGGTTCGGGTGAGCGGACGGGCGGCCTAAGACTTTGCTTGCAACTCGACAGCGCCCAGCAGGCAAGCAGCAGGCAGCACTCGAGCGGATCAACGGAGGCGCGTCGCGAGTCACAAGTCGCGGATGGTCGCCCCTGAGTCGGCAAAGTCGATAGCGGAGGGGTGGATGGGTGAGCCTCTCGGGTGAGGCTTCTCAAAGCTGTGGCGTCAGTGGTCGATGAGACGCCAAGTGTGCTGGGTGAGTTGTACAACAACAAGATGAGGAGAACCGAGAAGCAAGGCGCGTCAGTGTGTGACGCAGATGCGTAGTGTCCGCCCACCTCGAGCAGGACTCGGGCGCGTCGCCGATGCGGACATTGATGCGTTTATCTTTGGGGCACGGCGAACGACGACATGTGACCTTACACCAACTCCGCTGAGGTGCACCGCACGGCAAATTCGGCTGCGTCGGCTCGTTCACCGGCCCCGATTGCGCGTGGAGTCCCCACATACCGCACACACACAGCATACACTCTTCCTCTCCCGCGGAGCCCTTTTCCGTGCAATCGTCACTTCACCATCCCTCTCACCTCATCTCCGATTCCACTCCCTCTTGGCGGCCTGTCCACATCGCCTGACCTCGCCCCTGACCTCACCTGACCACACCTGCCCCAGGCACACAGACACGCACCCCTTGCGCACCCCTTCTCTTCCATGTCCATATCTGGTGCATCACTCATTGTTCCTCATCCTGAATCTCACAACAGCATCCTTCGTGCCATGCGCGTTCTAGGCCCGAGCCGTACCGGCCCCGCAGCGGCGGCTCAAGCCCAGTGCCTGAACTCAACGGTGAGGTTCGCGAACGCAGCAGCAATCACGCGCGGGTCCGGCATTCCCAAGTCGACATATGCTTCGCACTCGCTGCTCGGCAAAACCGCCTTGATGCGCTTCACGAGAGTCTTGTCGACGTGCGCGGCGGCGTGGGCGTCGCCGGTGTCATAATCGACCCTTGGGAGGGCGCTGAATACGCTCATTCTCTTGACGAGGGCGCTCTCGCTCTTCTCGGGGAGTAGGGACGCGGCAGCCTTCGGCAGCTTAGGCCTGGCCGCCGTCGGGCGACGGTGCATCTTGATCGGTTGGAAGGGACAGTGTCTGGCGTCGACAAACGCGAGGAGGCGGTTGATCTCACTATGTGAGTTTTGCCAGCGGAAGGGGGCCGATTCCCAGAAGTCGCCGTTCTCCAGCAGATCGATGAGAGACACACGGCGCCCCTCGAGCCACTCGGCCCAGTGCCTGCTGCACTCGAGCTGCACCCCGCCCGCGGTACGCCACATCATCGCGAAAGACGACGTCGTCAGCGCCACGCCGCCGCTGTTCTCGAGGTCGGAGGAGGCGTACAGCGCAAACACGCACTGCAGGAACGAGCCGCGCATGTCCCCGCCCACGGACCACGCGACGCCGCCGAGCACCGTCTCGAGCGAAGAGGGGAACGCGCACAGCGGGTTGCGGCGCCAGAAGCGCAACTTTTTGGTCTAAGTGTCAGCGAGCACTCATTGACTTTACCGCTCACCCTGCTCACGCGGTTCAGGCCCGACCACGCCTGCACCATGAGTGCCTGTACCTTGGCGTCTGGATCGGTGCGGCGGCCCTCGATGTCGAGTGCGCAGCACAAAGCGAGGAGCGCATCGTGCGTGCGCACATGCAAACCTTTCAGGGCGGCGATGAGCTTCTCCTGCTCCGCGGCGCTCAGGCTCGATACACTGCGAGAGCTGGCCGAGCTGGAAGTCCCGGACGAGCTTGAATCGAGATAAGGCTCGTATGCGGTGTAGGTCGCCTTGAGATCTTGGAGGTGATGATTGCCCGACATCCTGGTCGTCTTGTCTGGTCGAAGTAGCGGTGAGGCACAGCGGCCCCGAGTACGCTGTATCGACGAGACAGCGGCGCTCAGAAGAGGCGAGAGGGGTGATGAGAGAAAGTAGAGGTTGTTCACAGCGGTTCAGGCCTATATGTCTCGTGCGCTGAGCGGGGTGCATCGTCGGAGCGCGGTAGGGCGAACCGTGACCCATCAGACGCCGCCGCCGGGGCGCCGGGGCACCGGCAGGGCGATGGAGTACGGTGGAAGACATAGCGTGTAATGCGCAGTGCAGCATGCGCAGCACATGGTATCTCGCGGCAGTCGCTCGCGATGTCGATACCAGCGCCCAAGCCGACGGGATGGTGCCCTCCTGTGCCCTTCTGCGCCGTGAGATGCGACTCCGAGCAGACGACTGACCATGGACTCAGACCCTGTCTCACCCTGCAACCTCCGCCCAATCCACGCCACCTCCGCCGTTCCTCAGGCAGCGCATCGCCATTGCTCTGTGGCAGCTGATAAGGAAACCCAGCTTTGCATTTGTATATGGCACACGTACAGCACTACATTATGAATACACTCCTGCGCACTCCTCTAATGTTCTAACGGCTCATTCTCACACCAGCAGCCTCGGCGCCCTTCGCCGCGCTCGCCTCGACGCCCTCCTCGACAGCCTCTTTCACCCCCTCCGCGACTTCCTCAGCACGCTCTAGTCCGCTGTGCGCAGAGTGTCCAGACTCGGTGCGGTCGATCTCCTTCTTCGCCTCGACGGGGCTGGCAGTGTAGGTGTCCTCGTCGGAATCGTTCCTCTGCAGGCGCAGGACGCCGGTATCGTTCTCCGGGGTATGCGGCCTCGTGGCCGGAGTCTGAGCGCCTGTCGCGGGAGTGGTGTGTCCGCTTCCGACAGCTCCCCTGGCAGCGCGCTTCTTCGCCTTGCGCTCCTCGACCCACTTCTTGCCCTCCTCCTTCAGCTTTGCGTCGTCCTCGCGCTTGAGCGACACGCGGCGAATGAAGAACACAGTGATGATGAACGAGAGGCCGGCCATGGGCACGCAGAACCAGAAGCACGCGTTGATGCCGCGCGAGTAGGCGGCGCGCACTGCGTCGAGCTGCGCGGCGTCCAGCGGGAGGTCGTGCAGTTCCGTCGGGTCTTTCAGGACGCTGTCGATGAGGCTCCTCTGGAAGCCCTTCCCGGTCAGCTCGGAGGTGACTACATTGTTGATGATGGCGGCGCAGACTGCAAGCGAGACCGTGCCGCCCAGCATGCGGAGGAAGTTGCGGCATCCCGTCGCTGTCGCCATGTCTTTTCTCGCTACGCTGGCCTGGATCGCAATAAGGGACGTCTGGAACGTCTGGCCTGCGCCAACGGCGATCAGAACCTGGTACCCGTAGATCTTGGCCTTGCTCGTATCCGGCCCAACGGAGGACATGACGCCCAAACCAATGGTCCAGATGAAGAATCCAGCCATCAGGTTCCACTTGTAGTCGCCCGTCTTGGACACGAGGAAGCCGGAGAGGAACGAGAAGAAGACCTGCACGAACGTGAGGGGGAGCATGTCGACGCCGCTCTGCACGGGTGACTCCTGCCGAACGACCTGGAAGTACTGCGGGAGATAGTACAGTGTTGCGTAGAAGGCGCATCCGTTTGCAAACGTCGTCGCCATGCTTGCTGCCACCGTACGATCCTTGAAGATGTACATCGGGATCAGGGGGAGGGTCATGAGCTTGGCCTCGACGACGATGAAGACGATCAGCAGCACAATGCCGATGATGAGCGGCGCGAGCACGGCAGCACTCGTCCAGGAATACTCCACGCCGCCCCACGAGATCGCGATGAGGACGAGTACAGCCCATGCCAGTGTGAGAGCGCTACCCAGGTAGTCGAGCTTCTTCAGCTTGGCGACCATGGAGCCCTGCACGCGCTTTAGCGGGAGGAAGAAGAAGACGACGACGATCGCGAGCCCCGTGAGTGGCAGGTTAATGTAGAAGCACCATCGCCAGGTGACCTTCTCGGTGAAGATGCCGCCGAGGATGGGCCCGACGCTGTTCGCGACAGCGACAACGCCGCCGGTGATGCCCTGATACTTTCCTCGATCCTTCAGAGAGACGACGTCGGAAACTGTGGGGGGGGAAGGTCAGCGTCGAGTCAAAGAACTGCGAGGATGTGGTCGGACATGCCCGAGCATCGGCCACATCCGCTTCCGATGGAAAAGAGAACTCACTGATGATCATGGCCAGGGTGAGGATACCGCCGCCGCCCAGGCCCTGGATTGCGCGGAAGATGATCAGTTGGATCATGGTCTGCGCGAGCGCGCACGCCAGACTGCCGAAGAGGAAGATGATCAGACTGCCGAGGAGAACGCTCTTGCGCCCGAAAATGTCGCTGAGGCGGCCGTACACTGGCTGCAGCGCCGTCGAGGTCAGCATGTACGCCGTGCCGACCCATGAGGCTATTGACGCCTGGTTGAAGATCCTGCCGAGGGTAGGGAGAGCCGTGGCAACGCTGGTCGTTAGTAGAGGTCTTCGTGGCACCAAGATTAAACTTACATAGTCTGGTCCAGCAGGGAGCAGAACAGGGCACAGTTCAGACCAGCAAAGATGAGCATGACCTGCTTCACGGGCAGCAGGTTGGTCTGATCCGTGAGCTCAAACTTCTTCTTCTTCTTGTCGTCGCCTGCGCCTGCTGATCCTTCTACATCCTCTTCGTGGGCTGTTCGCTCCCCGTCGCTTCCGTTGGAGGGCGGATTCCGAACTCCGTTAAGATCCTCCTCTTCTGTTTTCGCAGTGGAGTCGGACATGACCGGTGGCGTCCGGTCATCTCCTGGTGCTCGTGATTTCCCGTCGCCAGAGCTCTCGATGGCTGCCTCCTCGTCGCGCCGGTCGTACTTCTCGTCGTAGGCGTCGTAGTGCCCGTCGTGATCGTGGTGTTCGTGCTCGTGCTCGTCGTGCGTGTGCAGACCCACGACGTCCTCGTCCTGCACCGCGTATTCGCCCGTTTCGTGTGTGGCCATGCGCCGTAAAGAGTTGCCCGCGTAAGAGTTTGAGCTCGTCACGCGCGTCAGCTCCCCCTGTCGTCTTGACGTCCTCCGGCGCAGCGCCGACGACGAACTATCTTGTCGTCCGAGCTCGCTCATTTTCGGTGGAGTGGAGGCGGTCGCTCGGAAGAGTGGAGTGGAGGTCGTGTGATGGGAGAGGTGAGGGGGCAAACGCCTGTTGAGGCGTGGTGTTGTCGTGTGCGCTCTATCAGTGAGCCACAGTCTTCGAAAATCAGAAGATGGTGAGCAAGTATGCAGAGTCAAGAGCTGCGGTGCACCAGATTGCTTTTGCTTTTCCCGGACCCCCGCGCCGCGCTCAATGACAGCACGGACGGACCGATGCCAGGTAGAGAGTCTAGAGATTTTTGTCGGCCTCGTCCGACAGCGATCCCTGGTTACGAGACACGGCACGTGGCGATCCCTTACCCTGATTGGGTGTGGTGCCGACGGAGCCGAGCAACGACGGAGCTGAGCGAAGGCGCCTGCCATGACGTAGCGCAGCGCAGACGCTGTGCAATGCAAGAAAGTTGATGCTGACTAATAGCCTGACGGCGGTACGCGGTGTTGTCGGTGACAGTCATGCAGATGTGTTGTAAGCCACCGTATCTGATAGGGTATGAAAACTCAAGCCACGAGGTTATCGACACTGCGGCGCAACTTGAGTGAGACGAGCGGGTCCGAAGTTTCGGGCGTAAAGGCCAAAGCTCCACCACAGCGCCTCTCCGTCTCGACGCTGTAGTGACCGTCGCTACTCGTCGAGGATCCTCTATGTGCGATCTAGGGGGAGGGAGTCTTAGCGACAGCAGTCAGTTGCAACAGAGAGCAACCAGGCCACCGCTGAAGCCCGGCGGCGAGCGCCGACACGCTCTATGCGGTTCTCCGTTACCTGTCACTGTACCTGGAATGCGCACCAAATCCATAATGAGTACAACACCTAGAGCTTGCCCTTAACCTTGGACAGCACGTCCTTGAACTTCTGCAGCTTGCTCTTTCCGTGCTTGCCGTCGGCCGACGCCTCCCCCTTCTCGGCGGCGATCTCGCCTGAGCGCTCGCCCAGCATGCCGAGGTTCATGCCGCCGTTATCGATAACCTCCTCGACGAGGCCAGCGTCGTACAGGTCATCGGTCGACCAAACCTTGCCGCCCGCCGTGTCCTCAGCCGCCTTCGCGTCCTTCATCATGACCTTGAGAATGTCCGGGATCGAGTGGCCGAGCACAGCGTCCTGCAGCGAGTACGTGCCCTTGCTGCTGTGGATTGTGCGGTGGTCGCAGAGAAGAGCGAGGAGGAATCCGGCGCCGAGAGCGTCGCCGTTGATCGCAGCAATCGTCACGAGGGGGTACGTCAGGAGACGCGTCTTGAGGGGCTCAAAAACCTCTGCATGTCAGCTGGCGGCGACGGAGCGAGCACTCACCGTTGATGAACTTGGTGTCCTTCGAGTCAGCCTCGGCGATGCCGGCCGAGAATGACTTCGGGATCTGGCTCGTAATGACGAGCGCGCCGCCCTTCGATCCAGCGTCCTTCCACTGCTGCTCGACATTGTCGAGAGCGCCGTTGAGCTGTCCAATGAACTCGGCGGTGAGCTGGTTGTTCGGCTCAGAGTTCATGAATACCATCCACACTTCGTCGTCGGTCTGGGCTACACGGACGTGCTCGGGCATCGTGGGGTTGCTTTTGGCTGATGCGGTCGTTGAGAGAGTGCAGATGGAAATCGTTGGAAGTCGATATGCGGAGCGAGTGGGCCCGGATATGTACCTGCTCCCACGACCCGGCATCAACGGTGACACGGTCACCCGACCCCAGTCGGGGAAGTGAGGGTCGGCGATGGCCGCCACTACGACATTCCACTCTGTGGGCGCGGTCCCTTGCACTCAACACATTGGTCTCGAGCCAGAGCTTAGCACAAGCTGACTACTTTCCTACACATCCGACTTCTCCCATTAAACCCTTTCCACACACGCTATGTGAGTGTATGCGGCGAACGCACGGCGCCTTGAGAACTTGTGTCGTTGTGCGATCTACCGGTCAAGACACCGAGATGAACGCCGACTTCCGCTCAACTCATTTCGGTCGCGGATAGCTCGATCTCTCCAGACTCCGAAAGCCATGCGGATACCAAAAGCACTTTCAGTCGCTCATCACTGCGGTGCCATCCCAGTAAGCGAACTCATTACATGCCATGAACACAGTACTACTAAGAAAGTTACTGATTATCGTCGTCGTCTTGTCACGTCTACTTATTATGAAGGTCCTTATCCGTCAGATCGTTGTCCATGATGATGGTCTCCATCTCGACCTCGGGCGGTGCCGGCGTGCGCGTCCACGGGAAGCAGCACGTGCAGCACCAGCAGTCGCGTCCAGCGTAAGCGCACCGGTCGACGCAGAGACATCCTCGCAGTGTCCCGCGGCCGATTCACAGGAGCGTGCCGGCGAGGACGAGGCCGCCAGCGGCGCCAAGGACGAGGCCATACTGGGTCTTCTTGGTGAGCTCGCGCCTGCGGAGTGCACCGGAGTTGGGAGCACTGGCAGCCTGGGTCGGAGACGGCGAGGGAGAGGGCTCAGAGGGGGAAGTGATGGGCGTGTTGCCGGGCATAGAGGCGTTGGCGCTCGCGCCAGGGGGGAGGATGGCAGTACCGGAGGGAATGGTCATGTTGCCCGTGACGTTGGTGCCGGGAACATTGAGCGCACCGCTGCCCGTGGGAAGGAGGAGGCCGGAACGAGAACCAGAGACGGTCGGGATGGCGGGACCATTGTAGGTTGCGCCCTCGACGAAGGTGCCGCTAACCCACGCGCCAGTCGTGCCCGAGTAGACCTCCTGCGCGCCCGAAGGCTTAGCTGAGCCAGTAACCTTGCCGGAGCGGGTGCCAGTGCCGGTCGGCTTCCAGGAGCCAGTAGCCGTGTCGGTCCAGGCGTCCTTGGCTGACCAGGTGCCAGTGTCGCTCGCCTCCCCGGTGCCAGTGCCGGTGGGAGTCCAGGCGTTGTCCTCCGTCCAGGTACCGGTCTCGGACGCGTCGGGGGTCCAGGAATCAGTGTCGGGAGTCCAGGTTGGCGCGGGAGCCCAGGTAGTAGCTTTACCGCGGCGACGAGTGGAAGTCGCACCAGAGCCCGAGTCGTCAGAAGCAGTGTACGGCTCGCCGGTGGGAGCAGTACCAGGCGTGTCGTTGGTGCGGGTGTTAGAGTCCGAGTTGTCGTCGGTGTTGGAGTTGTCGTTCCAGGTGGAAGTGCCAGAGTCCTCGGCGTCGTCGGTTGCAGAGGGAGACCAGTTGTTGGCGGTGGGAGTGGGGTCGTTGCCAGAGTCGGCGGTGTTCGAGTCCGGAGTGGAAGCGTAAGCTTCGTGTCAGTGTTGGACGGGGGAGGAGGAAACTTACCAGTCTCCCACATTGTGACGGTCACGGTGACCTGAGCGCTGGTTGAGAGCGCGAAGAGCAGGAGAGCGAGAGTGGTGGAACGCATTGTTGATGGCGTGGTTGTGCAGAATGGAGCAGGGGAGGAGAGCTTGGGTTGAGGAAGGAGACCGTCTGATGCAGTTGCTCTTATACACCACATCTCGTCGACAGGTGGGCAGCTTGATGTTGGTCGCGGAGGCGCTCCTGCCCTGGGATGCATGCTGCGGTTTGGCGAGGGCGATCGTCCCCAACGGGCTGTGGTTGCAGTGTGCGAGATCTGACTTCGCTCAACGGTAGCCGAGCAAGATGGTCAGTAAAACAGATCGAGTACGCTGAGGCGGACGTTAGTCAGAGATACCTGCGTGGGTCCAGTCATGATGTATGCGACGAGTCGCTCCTGACAGGCATTCTGACTCTCTGCAGCGAGACCGTGCTATGGTGAGCGGTGAACCCTCGTCAGTGGCTGCGAACACGAGCCGATGTCGTACGCCAGCCTGCGAGTGGCGCACACCCACACAACCACACATCTCGCAGGTTCTCAGAGCCTTCGAGTTCCTCTGGGAACCTTGGAAACGAGAGTCTGTACGAGTATGGCGCAGCGGATCTTGTACGTCAGCCAAGATCTCGCGGGCACGTTCTCGCACCAGATTCCCGCTCACCTTGCTTGACGATTCGAGGTCTAACTCGCTCCCGATCGGGTTGAGTCGGGTTAGTGATGCAGCGTCAGTAATTTAACACAAAGAGCCGGTAGAACGAGCGTTGCAATAGGTACTGCGGACTGAGCACAAGATCACATGTGTCGTATTAGATTTTACTTAGGGACTGCTGAGCTGCTTCCTACTCCTACTTCGCATGCACTCCTCTGTCTACGAAACAGATCTGCTGAGAGATCTCGTGTTTAGAACTGGTTCTGGGTTCCGGTAACGTGGCCCATGCCGCCGACGCCGGCGACACCGCCCTGCTCGCCCTCGACGACCGGGCGGGAGACACCTCCGGGGCCAACCCCGCCGGTCTGGGGGGCGTAGCCCTGCTGGTTGATGCCTTGGTCGTGGTGGTGGTGGTGGTGGTGGCCAGTGCCAGTG